AAAGCGGTGTACATGCTCATGAGATTACATATTTAGTTCAAGTTTACAAAGTTGTAGGGTTCAGGAAAATTTTGATGTCGTCGTGTGATTGTTCTAATAAAAATGATTTAACCTTTAATAAAAATGTACGCAAATTTCTAATGACTCGTATAGAACCAGGTAGCGCATTGAAAGCCTTGCAAGAAACAATACTGAAGAAGTTACTGAAGTGAGTTGTGCGAGATGTGGGAACATAAACAAGTCCGTGTGAGTCCGTGTTATTATATTACTTCAGTGTATTTTAAAAATATTATTCCTAAAAATATATTGTTCTTAAAATGCCTGAAAAGAAATTTAATTTTGTGGCACTTACATCTTCTTTTCGGCACTATTTTCGAAGACCATTAGGCACATTTTGAAATTCCATTCCTGGGCTGGGCTGTTCTTGTAACAAGCGCAGCAGCTTCGCGCACGTGTATATTAGAGTGGCCTGTTTTGGTCGATTTTCAAAAACCGAAAGTTTTCGCACGAAAAAACATGAGGTTGGCAAGGAAAATAAATATGAAATTGGTTTTTTCCGGATCCGGAAATTCCGAGTGGTTCCGGGTTGATCATTTTGATTTTTTAATAGGAAATATGTTGAAATTGAAATTATTATTTGTGACCTGGTCTACGAAAAGGGAGCTTACGTGCGAAAACTAGTTTTCTGTGAAAAAGCTGTTAAAAGTAAGCAACTCGTTTCGTCAGGTTCTTATTATCTCGTTAATTGTTCTCCGCGCCGGACGTCCAGTAAGTGTTGTAGTTAGTCCAGTAAGTGTTGTTGTTGGTCCAGTAAGTGTTCTTGTTGGTCGGAATATTATTATAGTTCATCGTGTAAGTTGCTAGTGTGGAACATTTAAAAAAGTAACACTGAAGAAGTGACGTTTACTGTATCTTTCTCGACATTTTTAGTACACTTCTAAGCAAGTTAGGATTTTCTACTTTTCACCACGTGAAAAAGCATCTCATCTTCCATCCGAATCAACCAAAAAGTGAAAATTGATTTTTTGACACCTAAGCCCCCTTTCCGTAGACCAGGTCACATTTTAAGTTTTCAGCTTTTACGAACATGAAACCCAATTTTTTATTCCTGAACTGTTTTTTATTGAAAACTGAATACATTTACCTTTTTAAAGTGCTCAAAAAGTCTGACATTGATTGGAAAACCATGGTACACGATAATATTAAAGCTGCGAAAAATATGAAATCATCATTTATATCAATATATCATTTAATATGTAATAATAATAATATTTAATATCATTTAAAATAAAGCATAATGTATAATTTTTCTAATATATACTTAAAAAAAAGATATGCAAAATAAAAGAAATTGGTGTAATTTCGACATTTTTGGTCGAAAAAGCTCAACCCGGAAACTCTAGGAATCACCTGAAGGCTTTTAAACTAATTACGTATTTATTTTTATCCCCAACCTCACATTATTCTGTGCGAAAACTTTTGGATCTATGCATTTAAAATTCTTCATACAACAAAAAGGCCACTCTAGTGTATATGTTACTTATTCTTT